GTTTCCATCTTCATATTTAACTGAATGTGGATTTAGTGCTGTAAATGATTTACTGGTAAGAAAAAAAAGGAAATCGCCTGGATATAACACAGTGGGGAGACTTGAGGCTGAAGCTAACCAAATTGGAAACTAACATAAAATCTCTGTGCAGCAAGCGCAAGGATCTCTCTAAATTAAAATATTAAATTATTAATGAAAAATCTTTGTGAAAATTATTTGAATTTTAGTTTTTCATTATATGTCGAAATTTTACTTACTTTGTTTCGTCAACAATTTTCAAGAGATTTCTCACTGAAACCTATCATTTAAGTTTCTTATGTGAACAATTCAATTTTTTAATTATTAAAAATTATGTGTATGTCACATAGGGGGGCATAAGAATTTAAGAAAGGCTTGAGTGGGTCACGGCACAAAAAAAGTTGGAAAACACTGTGCTACACCGTTTAAAAAGTAAGCAAAATTAGTAAAGTATTTGAAAATTTAAGTTAGTAGTTGTTTACCGTTTTTTAAATTATCCGGAGCAGTTGGTATCTCTATATATTGGCGTGAACTGAAACTTAAAATTACCTTTTAAACTCTTAAAAGGTATCACGAAATCTTGTTTAAGCTGTACTGTATCAAAACTTAATGTAAAGCTAAATTTTGTGACTTTTCCAGTCAGAGTGAGAAGGAACTTTGAAATTTAATGGAGTCTCAAACTTTTATAGGTTAATCTATTATTCGTTTAACTGATCAAATTTTTATGTTTTGTTTTTTTAAGCAATGCAAAAAATACTGATTTGACTCATTATGTTCTTTTCGAATCGTTGTCCTTTTTGTTCTAAATGAAAGAAAAGTAAAATATAAAAAAAAAAATTTGTGATTGCTTTATTAAGATCACTGGTCACCCATGGGTCAAATGCTTTGACTCCGTTAAACATTTCAAATCATGGGTTGCTGTCTCAATGGATGTCTGATTGATCCTGCAAGACGTCCCAAAATACTTTTCCGTCTTTAAGCATTCGTATTAAAAAGAAATAAAAAATAATATTTTTAAAAACCACGTTTTTGCAGTGGAGAATAATAATTAAAATGTGAAAAACGTGGGGCGCATGAAATTCATAACAGTAATATGTGTATATATATCTGTAATTGTATCTGAGTGTGGATGTGGAATATGTTTGTATATATGCATGTGTATGAGTAAGAAAATATGTATATGTACTGTTATGTATTTCATGCGCCCCACTTTCTTTGTTTTTCACATTTTTGTTTTTTAATTATTATTCTCCACTGCAAAAACGTGGTTTTTAAAAATATTATTTTTTATTTCTTTTTTTTTTTGTACTCACTTCCAAAATCTCAATTTTTTCACTCACTGTAAAACTTTTCAACTGACATGCAACACTAATTTGAAATAATTGAATCGACAACAAAAGACAATCGCGAAAATATTAATTTTATTTTACTTTGTATGTCTTTTTTCGCTTCATTTTCATGCATTGTCCTCACATTCTGAACTATGTGCCAAATTTGAAGTCTGTAGCTAGTCGCGAAGTTAGTTTAAAATCGATTACAAAATTCCACCCGAACTGTTGCGAAGTCGAACTTTGAATTTTATACCAATATTGAACTACGACTCACAAGAAGAAGATACAGGTTCTTTTAGACAAGAGCACATTTATTTACATGACGAGGACATTTTACATAGGAAGAAACATAGAAAGAATAACTATTTTTAGACTTCGTTTTACTTTTTAACTTATCGATTGTTTGTTCTATAATATTTTTATATTATGTTGCCAATTTATTACAACTAAACCATTTCTTGCTTTCTTATGAAATATTACTTATGCGAACCCGCAACACGAACAGACATACACGAAGGCGAGTTAATATAAACGCGGTAAAATTACCGTCAGGCCAGTCATA